CGGCCCTCGAGATGAAGGACCGCGCTGGACCTCGGGTGAGGCTCCAGCTATCTGAACTCCTCGGGGACCCCCGGGACCTGGTGAACTCTTTGAAGTCCACGGTTAGGTCGCCGTTCACATCTATCTCTCGGAACAGCACTGCCAGCTCCTGACGGCTTCCGAAATTACCCTCGGGGTGGGAGACAGGAGCTTGTTCCCACCCTTTATGCATTGCCTCCGTTGCAGATCCTCAGAGGCGGATCCAGCCATTCAGAACATGAACGTCCGCACTACATCTCAGCATCCGATATGCAGCTGTGGCAAGAGAAAGCATGGCAACCTTAAGGCCCCAATTGCCCGATGTACGACATCCCACACTCTCATACACTCTCGGGGTTCAGCGTTTTGCTTTTCAGGTTGTGCTTCGGGCGAAGAGCTCAAGCGTCCTTGTCGGTCAATGATGGATTGCCTTCTCGGAGGATGGCCGACATCTCCGTGAAGCTCAGGAGTCCGGAGGCATCCTCCACGACTACCAAGTAACCAAAAGGATACGGCTTCATATCTAGACTCTCGCAACGCAAACACTCCAGGCGAGGTTGATAGGTCGGTTCATCACGGTGATAACAAGGTTTCCCAAGTTGGGGGTCAGGCAGGCAACAGCAACCCCACACAACTGCACAATGTACTCGTACTTAGGGGACTATGCGTTTGGGGTCTCATCTTGTCACTCTGCATGTGTTGCTCTGCATATAGGGGCATGCATGCATGCGTGCACGCATTCATGAATCATTGTATTGTACGTATGTACATGCGTATGTATGCATGACGGAAGGACGGATGGATAGATGGATGCATGCGTGCGTGGGTGGGTACATGCACATGTGCACGCGCATGTGCATGTGTACGTGTGTATAACTGTATGTGCACATGCATGTGTAGGTATGTATCATGTATCTATACAAAAATGTATATTGCATTGATACATCTGAAAGTCTCAGTGTGCCTATGTGTGTTATGTGAGTGTATATAAGCACAAGCGCATATCTCTATGCATATGTATATGATAGGGGGTTGGTGGTAGCCTCAAATTTGGACCCAGAAAAAAAGGCCCCGACGTGAACACAGACTGTGCTTAATTTCTAGGGGGCCGCCTTTCCTCCTATTCCTTGGATCCTCTAGAATGAAGCCCTGGAAGAGCCACCGTGTCACCGCGGTGCCGGGCAGCTGATGTCCCGGAGTGACTTGTGGCACCCGAACGAGTGGTTGGCTCGTTTGAGTGATATAAGATCAAGTCTTCAACCCCGATCCCTGACTGCTAACATCAGGTGCCCGGCAGCGCGGTGACACGGTGGCTCGTCCAGGGCTTAGTTCTGGAGGATCCAAGGACGGCAAAAAGGGGGCGCCCTAGAAATAGTAGCCGTAGCCGTAGCAGTAGCAGTGTAGCAGTAGCCGTAGCCATAGCCGTAGCAGCAGCACCGAGGTGACATGATGCTTCTGGGGCTTCCTTACATGTAAGGGAATTCCATCCATCATGAACAGCACTGCCTTCTAAGGAATCCCCCCATGGTCTACGAAGTCTACAAAAGGTTTTTTCTCTGGGGCCAACGTTTGCAACAAGGACCCCGGGCAACCTGATCTAGTTCTTTTGTACTGAGCTTCCCGGACACCGACCCCCTGTTGTATACGCGCATGTGTATATGCGTTTTGCATGTGTATCTGCATCTGTGTGCGTTTGCGTGCGTATGCATGTCTGTGTGTGTGTATCTACATATGTATGTATAACGTGAGCACGTACACAAGTTTGTGCGAATGAATGCATGCACGTGCGCAAGTGCGTGTGTGTTTTATCTATGCGTAGTTCATGCATGCATGCACGGAAGCAGGCTTTACAACATACCTGCCACGTACATACGACACATTGCATTGCACTACATTACTCGTGCATGCAGTACGACTCACATGCACAGCCAAGCAGCACAGCTCAGCACAGCATAGCATGGAATATTATATCATATGCTCTCATCTCATTTAACCTACCGACTATGAAAAATCATGACCGTAAAATACCATGTAATGTGACACCCTTTACACCAGGACAGCAGGCCTAAACTATGCAGGCCACACATGCGGAACTCTGAGGCGGTTGGCGCATGTCCTTAAGCCTCACACCGACCGGCTTCCACTCACAGAAACAAAACAACAGTTCAACCACCCCTTCTCGAAACGACCGAGAAAATTAGCGTTCTCCCTCTGCTCAAAAGCTCAAACTCGAAGCGCTCGGACTCTTTATCGGACATCACTTGCCGTCAGTCCAACTCCGAGCTAGCCTTGTCTGCGCTGCGGAACGTCTCCCGGAGCTGCTTCTTCCGAGCCGCGCTCAGCCCCGCCTCTGCATTCAGACTTAGGCTTAGGCGGCTTCGTGCTTATCACGCCAGACTCGGAACAACGTTGTGGAGCAGAGTCTCAAGCTCACGAGCTGAGCTTCGGCGACCTCATTTGTTCCTAAGCTTCGGTTCTTATTGAGATAGGTCCTAGCAAGAGCAAGTTATGCAAGTTCCAGGGCGTATGAGTTCGCACCTCAACATTCAATAGCTGCCCTACGGCTTGCTTCTCGACGGCCCCAGGCCAAGTCTGTGAGCTCAGTCGGAAAATGCCTTCTGGTGACGACCTCTCGCAACTGACCTACAAGAGATAGCGCCACACGCAAAAGGGGACACGGCTGTCTGTCGACCCACTTGTGAACGATTAGGCGGCCAAGATTCGGGCTTCAGGCTTTGGGGTTCTAGGCTACAGGCTTCTGGAGAATGATAACGGTCGTCTTGATGAACTTTTCATGTTCGAACATCGAACCTTCCCCAAACCAGAGGGTTGAACCCTCAAATATAACCTGAAAGCCCAGCTTGGACCCTCTGTGCTCCACGAATAGCCAGATCAAGTTTCTGGAATGTCTGTAAGGTAGCTCTTAGATGAAACCATTCTCTAAGCAAAGCCTGCATCGGGATTGGACCCAGTTCCCTGATAGTGTAGCATATCCAGTCTCGGCACATACGCATTTCTTCGCCGATCCGGGATCCTAAACCCTGGACACTCGGACTCCCGACCTTCGCCTTCGGCGCCGGGGCTGGTGTAGACATGGCGTGGGTTTAAGGCCAGGTGCAAGATGTAAAGGGGTGACAGCAAAGCCCAAGGGTGGTCTGGTAGATGAGAAACGTCGTGAACAGAACCTGGGTGCCTCAACATGTCCTCGAGCCTCGATGTCGCTCGATGTCTCGTTCCAAAAAACCTGTTCAAGTAAGCAAAAACTAGGTGCTCCTCCGCAGACCTGGTGCTTATTGACATCATCATATCACGATTCTGGTTCTGACGGAGTTCGAAGCCCCAAAGCACCCACGGCTGTGATGCCCCCCGGCTTGCACCGGCAAGCTGGGAGCCAAGCGGCAACAGAAAAGCACGAACCGCTTCCAAAACTACTGTTATCTTTGCTTGCTCCACTCTACGGCTGCACTATATGCCTGTCACCATCACCGTCGGTGCTGAAGGTTCCATCCCATTCCCACCAGCGGAGATAAACAAGGAAAGATCATGGAGACATGGAGAGCGGAAGTTCTTACCTGTAGCAGCAGCTGCGGAAGTACCGTCGCTAGCAGTAACCTCAGCAGAACCAGGTGCAATCGTCGTCGTGCTGGTGGTGTTCGAAGATGGTCGAAGTAGAAGCAGAAGTAGAAATAGAAGTAGGAGGAGCAGGAGGAGAAGGATAAGGAGAAGTAAGTAGCAGAAGAAGTACAAGGTCAAGTAATAAAAGTAGAAAAGACGTAGAAGTAGAAGCAGCATCAGCAGCAGCAGAAGCAGAAGCAGAAGCCGAAGCAGACGCAGGAGCAGGAGCAGGAAAAGAAGCAGTAGAATGAGAGGGAGAAGTAGAAGTAGACGCAGCAGCAGGAATTGAGGTGGAACTTACATGAAAAGGGAATTGGAAGAAACAGAAGAAGTAGAAGTAGAAGTAGAAGTACAAGTAGAAGTAGAAGTAGTAGTAGTAGTAGTAGTAGTAGTAGTAGTAGTAGTAGTAGTAGTGGTACTAGTAGTGGTAGTATGTAGCAGTAGTAGTAGTAGTAGTAGTAGTAGTAGCAGCAAAAGTAGTAGTAGCAGTAGTAGTAGTAGTAGTAGTAGTAGTAGTAGTAGTAGTAGTTAGTAGTAGTAGTAGTAGTAGTAGTAGTGGTGGTAGGAGTCGTCGTCGTAGCAGTAGTAGTAGTAGTAGTAGTAGTAGTAGTAGTAGTAGTCGTGGTCGTAGTAGTAGTAGTAGTAGTAGTGGTAGCAATAGTAGCCGCAGCAGCAGCAGCAGGAGCTATAGCAGTGCAGTAGCTGTAGCAGTGGCTGTGGCAGTAGCAGTAGCCGTAGCCGTAGCTGCAGCAGCAGCCGTAGTAGCGGTACCCGTAGCCGTAGCCGTAGCCACAGCAGCACCAGCAGCAGTAGCTGTGGCTGTAGACGTAGCAGCTGCAACAGGAGTAGGTGGCAGCAACGACAGCAACACTAGTCGTTTTCGTCGTCCTATCCTCGTCTTCCCAAACTGGCCTTGTCATGCAAAGGCTCAGGCACTGCCAAGCACTGCACGCCCCAAGTGCTGCATTAGGCAACCTCACACTGGTAACAGCCACTTCATGCTATGACACTGCAGGTGAGCATCGCAAGCCTTTTTATTTCGTGTTTGGGCACTCTTTCTGGAAATGTTGCCCGCGGCAGTAACGACAAGTGCTTCGTGCTGCCAAGTGCTGTCAGTTCATCGGATGTCAAGAAAAGGCTCCGGAATCGTGCCGTACGGCAGGCACCCCATTGAATTCGTGCAGCTGCCCGTGACTTCGGCTCTCACCGACAAGGCGTGCAGCATAGGAAAACAGGTGCATGAAGGCTGGTACTAAAAGCACCTCTGCCAGTGCTATGGGTCCAAGCCGACCCATGCTGGCAGAGGCTGAGAAAATCCACCAACGACTCTTAAATCGCACGAAGCAAGGCACCCTCTGAACTGGATTTCACAGTACAGGTTCAACGTTCTTCTTGGTCTCACTCGCCACGATGATGCAGAGATACCACCACTCATCGACCTTCGTCAGGCACCGTTTTTGGTAGGAGTCTACTTCTGCCTCATGGTGCATGCGAGAGCCTCGAGATGATAAGTAAAGGTCACAAGACAAAGAGCAAGCCAGGCAGACTTCTCTGAGTTGCGGGCTCAGGAACATCGGCGAACCAGCAACATCCTGGCGCCAGCACGGCTGCCAAATGCATGAAAAACAAGGCCCGAAGGCCCGGAAGGCCCCGCCTGCTCTTTTCGAGAGCTCCGGGCGGACTCTGCTTGCGCCAACTTCTTGAAAAGATGTGCGCGCGGAGGCTCAAGACCAAGTGCTCGAAGTCGCAGAGCGGCTTGTCGAGCTTCTTCGGGCTCAGTGGCGACGTGCAGATTCTTCCTCATCGAAGGCATTCCATCCTGGTTCAGGCCGAACAGCAACTACTTGCAACATGATCACAACACAAACTGGGGCAAGGGTGCTCAGGACGGCTCCCTGTGGTATGCAGTGCTGCCCATAGCGTCTCTTGACGAAGGAAAACACTTTTCTGCTGCACCCACTCCCCACCTAGAGCCTCAGGCCGCGGCACCGAGCAAAATGGGTTGAGCTGCGTCGTTATGGGCATCTAGAACCTAGCTTTATGCTGAGGACAGTGGGCAGGTCGAAGCGGCCAAGGAGCGCATTTCTGCACGGACATGTCACTCGGAGGCATCGAGAGGGGGCATTCTCCGGTCGTGGCTTTGCTCTGAGTTCAACTTGCCAATTAGGCACGGTTTAGTTGGAAAGCACTCGCATTCCACTGTCCGCAGGAGGCCGCCAGGAAACCGAGGATATAGAGTGTCGGGCACAGGCCCGCTACTCAACATAACTCCCAGCTCAGCTGGGGAAGCATCAACTGTCCGCACGGGTGACGAAGCAAGTCAATCGTCACGCCATGCTGGGGCAACTTTGTGCCTCGACTTCTACATCCAGGTGCCGCCGGAACTCTCCACACGGCGAACATGTAACCGACCACGAAAAACATACAGATCGAATAAGATTCCATGCTAGGAACCTAGCAGCCGAAGCCCTGCTCCCACAACCAGCCCTCGAGTCCAAAATGCTCACCACTCTGCGGCAGGAGCACGATCGGCAATCCTACCACCACATGACCACTGATACGACTGTGTTTCAAAGTCTTCAATCAGAGACGTCATAATCTCACACCCGAAGCTAATACAACCAAATGGCGTCTATCTATATAACCACATTTGCTCCTGGTGTCTTGTACCTGACATGTGTAGCTATTTTAGCTGTTTCTTGCCATATCACCTACTACGCTATCGAAATGAACTACGGCTCCTGATCACTAGTCTACGCATCATAGAAACCCGATATATACACTCGCCAATGTTCCTACGAAGCCCGATACATCGTAGCCAAAACTTGGATGCGAAGCCTACGGCAGGCAATAGCACCAACGTGCCTGTCTGAAACCCTGGCACAGCAATGAGATAAACAATCACAGTATACCACCGCAAAGCCGTTCCATCATGCTTGGGGCACTGCAAGCACAAAGTTTCTCGTTGATCGTCAGAAATCCTAATTCGACCCTCCTGCCCTCATGCGGGAACTCCGATACGAGAGCTCGGACAGGCCCGGCTTCTTGAGACGGCTTTCACACCGGAAAACTCAGATGAGTCGCACTGGCCTCTCCTTCGTCGGCGTCGGGGCTCGGAGCTTCGGCATCGAAAACGAGGCGAGAGAAAATCCGCGACACTGACAACAACTGTATTTCAAATGACTACACTTCCGCACGGCGCAAACTAGACCGAACACCTTCAAGCCAGGTCCAAGCGGCTATTGAGCAGGGTGGTGTTTCGCACCGCTTCGGCCTGACAGCAATGTTGGGGAGCTTTGCTGGTGGAACAAGGAACTGGTCTGGCGGTTTGTGGCTTCGACCTTCGATCTACAGCAGGTCGGACACGTGTCTGCTTCGTTTTGCTCTTCTTTACTGCATTGCTCTTTCTCGTATCGCCTATCGGCTTGGACTCATCATGTCCCTGCTACTCTTACTCTTTCAGTCTGCGTTGCAGTTCTTTCGTCGGTAAACTTTTGTCCTCCGTTCCGTTCATTGTCTTTCATGTTCGCTGGCGGATCTCGTGGTGTCTTGCCCTTCTGCGGGCGGAAAACAAAAAGGAAAGAGAAACAACAAAGAGGAATCAACAAAGAGGAGCGGACAAGAACACAAACAGAAAAACGATTCCGACGAAACTGGCAACTGACTCGAGCAGATAAGGGCCTTAAACTGCCAAGCTTGCAAATTGCACTTCGCTTTTGGCATTCCTATAATCAGCCTATAATGAAGTGCTCCCAAGCTCCTTCTTGCTCCTGGGATTAGAGCCTCCCCCCTCTGCAAAAGGGGGAAGCCTTAAAGAGCTAAGCTTTGAGGCGAAGCTGCCGGATCCCAGTGGTCGTTTGTGCCGCGAAGGAGGAGGAAAGCCTTGACAAAGCTACTCGCTCTGAAACGAAACATGCTCAGTTGGCTGAAGGACGCGATGAAGCATCAGCACAAAATGAGGCCTGATCCCTGAGGACCATGCAATGGTTGCAAATGGTCGAGGATTTACTGCTGGAGGCTTTGCACACAGAGCCAACGCCACGGTGGGAGGGCATGCACGCGCAAAAACCCAGACCCTTCAATGCAGCTTCTTACATCTTCTTGTTCCCAAGTGTCAAAGCTTGTGGCTGCGAAGAACAAAAACCTCTGCTTAGCCCTCTTTGTCACAAGGTCACGGGTTGCCGACAATTCCTATGAACAATGACGACATGAATGCGAGCGACAACCTACATGCCAAAAGGTATTGTCATGGCATGGGCGATCCGAAATCTCCCCCAAAGGAGCTAGCTCTTTTGCAGGTGCCAAGAGGCTCGGATGCACCGCGCAGGAAAGCACATGCCTTTGGTCCGCTGACCGTTCACGAGTCGTTGGAGTTTTTGCCACTACGAGTAGCTGACCGAGTCGACTCGGACTTCGTTGCTGCTTGAAGTCACGTGCCTAGGATGGAATCAAGCCTGCGGCTGAAGTCCAAGCTGACCAACTTCTTCAGAAAGAAAAAAGTGCACACGCCATTTTGCTGTGGGTGGACATGACTTAGTCCGCTACCTACCCTGCCAGCGGAGAGTACGGTGACCAAGTTGCACTCTTTGTCTCTCTTTCTCCTCTCTCTCTACCAGGCCAGGGACCAGGTCGATCCCTCCCTGGCTTCTCCAGCAGGTCTTGCGAGACGGGTTCGGCCCCCCTGGCCACCAGCTTTTTTCTGGCGCATTGCGTCTGCATTGCCTTGCCTTGCCTTGCGTGGCGTTGCTTTGCTTATTTTGCTTTTTTGCTTGCTTGCTTGGTCGTTTGTTTGTTTGCTTGTTTGGATCTCTACACATCAGCCGATATTTCCAGATACATATGGGGTGTGCTTTCACTCGCCGGTTAACTCATTGAGCCCCCACACTGAACCTATTGGCTTGGCTTGCTCTTGGTCCGTGGTTCGACCGTAGGTCCTGAACCCTCGATCGCAACTCTCAAGGCACATACCAGTAGCTAGACAAATACGCTGACGGCCAGAATTGTTGTGGAGTTCCGATCACCAGGGTTGGTCATCATGCATTTGTTCATACAGCAACCCAGAAAGCAAGACGCTCGCTCGTGCTCGTTCATTCCTGACTTCTCTAACCAGAGACTCGACCTCTGCCCTGACTGCCAAGCTGAGCTCATCATGCAGCACTTATGTCGGCAGCGCAAGCAACATTTCCTCCCTCCTTCCTGACCTGCCTAGTGGATTGACCAGCTCGGGTGGCAACAGTTAAACACGCAAATGGGTGGATCGAAATGCGCACGGCACACAACGAAATCAAATGAACTCCGGCAGTGATGACCCTTGTGTCTGTCACCGGTGTTCTGCATCATTCCACGGAAAACCACCAGGCAATATCAGCTTCATCAACATCACCATCACAATCACGCTCGAGTCACCCTCGTCTCTGTGACCCCCGCCACCCTCACCAACACCTTGACGAAGTCGCGGATCTGCTCCGATATCTTGATTCTGAACCGCTGCAAGGCTGCACCACCGAGCGCACTTGCACCACATAGCCACGCAGGAGTACAGCTGAATGCAAAGCAACCTTAGCCAAGGACATAGAGCTTCTTTAGCCTACCCAAGCACTTCTTGCCGGCATTCAGGTATAGGGTTCAGGACCATGGCTGAGTTTGGCGATACGATTGATTTGGCCCGCCAACGGGGTGCGGATGTGGGAGTCTGATTAGCCTCACGTTTAAGGATTTAGAGATCACGAGAGAGGTTTTGAGTCTAAAGGTTTCGGACTGCGCGTTGGCGATCACTTGAGGTCACTTCGAAGCTTCGGCACTTGCTCTCAGCAATCCAGGATTGTCGGGTTTCGGCTTGAGGGTTCTCTGGGCTCCTGCTGTACACTGCTGAGGCCCGCACCAGGTGATCGTCTTCCGGACCCACACGCAGGTGCACCAGCCCTGCCTGAGGCTGCGGGGGTTGGTGATGTAGGATTCCTGACCCCGACTTGGAAAACTTAAACACTTAAACTGCAGCCGGGATGAAAGGTAAGGGGCTCCGGCGCACCTGGCCTTAGATCCCCAGGCTAGGGTATCCGCGCTTTGGACCTAAATTGACGATGCTTACCGACATGTTGGTAGTCTTTCCCTGCACGCAAGGCTCGAAGCATCATCTGCAAAAGGCAATTTGCGGAAGCATTTAGCAGCGCAGTGTGCTCGCGTGATGGCGCAATACTGCACAGCTCTACAAGAGCTTTCTACACATTGAGGTTTTATGTTCTGGTGGCCTGCAAATACAGCGGACGCCACACCCAGCGGAGTAGTGCTCGTAGGCACGCTCCACGATGCCGCCCCTTTCACCAGCTTCGAGAACCTTGGGCCATGGGGTTGACACGCTTCGGCTTAGGGATCTACTGTAAGGTTTCGGGCTCAGGATTTAGAGTCTAGAGCAGGCGAGTTTTGAGCCCGATATTCGTGGCGGCTTGTGTTTTTCTCTCAGGTTTTGGGACCTCATGGTCATGACTCGAGACGATGGCCACGAAAGCTAGAAGCAACACGGCGCAAGCTGCTTGGGGATGCTTACATACGCTTTCTTTGAAGTACAAGGGTTCGGGTTTCAGATTATAGGGGTCTAGGGTTAGTGTTCTAATATGAGTGGAGGTCGAGATTTGGGTTTTCAGAGCTGAAGATTCAGGTTTAACTTCGGAGTCGAAGTTTTGAAGTCTACTTTAAGCCTCTGTATGCAATGACAAGTAAGGATTGTAATCCAGCTAGCTTCCTGCAAGTTCTTGAAAGGTGGCTCCAAGTTGAATGAATGCATTCTAGTGTTGCTTAGCATATCGAGATCACGTTTGATCCACTTGTCCGGACATTCAAAGAGGGTGGGGGAGGGGACCTTCAAGGGGCGGGGGGAGGGGGAGGACCCTCCACCACCCCTCCCAACACCGAAATTCACTG